AAAATAAAGAACTACTGACCTATGCTTTAAAACACGAATGGTTGTCACAGACCCAAGCTGTCCATTTCTCTAATAGATTTTGAATAAAGTATCCCTGTCTCAAAAAAAAATTAAAAAAATAAAAATTTATTGAATACTCTTTGGTCAGAAAAATATTTGTGACTTTTTAAAATCCTTTTTTCCTGGAAGAGAGATGCATAAGCCATTTTTCTTAAAAACTCATTAAGTTATGATTTTGCTCATAAAAGATTTCTAAAGAATGAAATGTGTTGTCATAGATGCCTGTGAGAACCAGACATACCCTGTGCCTCAGTGACTATGGTCCAAACAAGAAAAAACACTCCAGCTCTCATGGTGGTGTGTGTATGTGGTGTGCTGGTAGTTCATATCTATAAGCTGCACCAAAGGAGAAAGAAGGACAGTCTCCTTCTATAAAGGACTTAATCTCCTTCTAAAAAGACTTAGTCTTGTAAATTGAAAGGACTCTGTAAGTGTAAGTGAACTCAATAGAAGTTGAGTTTTAAACCAAATGGAGAATGGGCAATCTCCTCCCATGTAATTCAACGCCTCTGAAAACCCAATGGAGGGTCAGCTATGAATCTGTTCCCACTTGACAGCACAGCAGAACAACAATGCTCAGGAGTAACACCATGTACAAACTCCTAGTTCAGTAACAATAATTACAGGAAATCTCACTGGGTAGCTAATACTTTACTTTGAAGAATGTATGTGCAATCATTTACTCCTTCAGTGCTTGGAAATTCTGATAGATTTTTTTAAAAGTCACTAGATTGGGGGGGAAAAAAGGGAGGATGGTGGACTCTGAATAAGCAATCTGATTGTAACTTAAAAACCAACACAGTAATAAGCAGAATTGGAGAAACTATTGTATCCTCAACAAACCACATGAACTATTAAAAGAACTTGAGAAAACTTTTCATGTACTTATGGTGGGTTTCTGAAGAACAAACCTATATATTATTTGAATCCAATATTCAAAACTACCTAAAATTTAGACTGAAGCCAGTCTGTAAATAAATGGAAACCTGAAAATTCACACATAGTCAAGATTAATCAAGACCTACGGATTCTTTCGAGGAAACCAAACAGAGTGTGTATATTCAGAATATCATTCTGTGACATACAATTCTGTTTTTTAGGGAATTCGCTTTTTGAGAGAATTGAATGAAAATTATGGATATAGAAAAATTGAGTGTTATTAGAAACTGCACTTTCAAAAACCATAGTTTTTCAAAATGTTTTTCAAAAACATGAGAGTACATTAAGGATACCTTGTTTTCTTAAATGTCGGCTTTGACATGAATGCTAGAAAGTACTGACTTTCTCTAATTCCATGTGGAGACACACTTCAGAGATTATTTAATTTTAGATCTAACAGTAAGATTCAGGGATAATTTAATTTAATATCCTCTTTTCAGGCATAACTTCATGGGAGCCCAGAGAAGAAAAGATTCCTCAAGTCTGGAGTTGGGATAAGTCTGAGATGATTTGGGGTTTTGTTCAATGCTCCTTTCATTCACTCTGTTGCCTCACAGGGAAAGCAGCTTTAAAAATTCTATCTCTGACATAAACAGATTTTCCCACTGTTATTTTATATGTTTAATTCACAAACTATAATTTTTCTTCACAAAATGAAAGTATTTCTTAAGGTATAAGACAAAAAAATTTGCATGAGAGAAAGGTGTGTACAGTGGAAAATCATCTAATTAGAAAATGTACTCCGGTGTTAGAGCCAAATGAAAAGCTATTCACCATTAACCTGTTACATTAACCTTTAGCTTAATACCAACTATTTCAGCATATTAAATATTCTTCTATGTCCCTATAGCTTGCAAATGCTTCAGTGACCTGACTAAATGTACAAACATTTCCTTCTCAAATGGAGTAAAATTTTTCATGTAAAATTTCAGTTGCTTCAACCACTGAGTTCCACTTCGTTTGTTTCATCAAGAGTCTGAGGACATTATCATCATTCAGCACCCAGCACTTACCTTGGTTATAGTTGATGAGGAAGCCACCTCCTTGTTGACCTTCATCTGTCCTCAGCTTTAAAAACATGCTGTCTCCACTAGAACGGATGGGAGCTGGTTTCTCATCCCCACAGAGCTGACTTAGCAGATGAGAGCTGGTACTTGGGCCATCATATACCTTTAATAAGCACATTTTTTGTTTGCTTTTATTTTTCACTGATTTATGTACAAAGTTCATATACATTGTTTTTCACACCTGATCTTTCCCATTCCCTTCACCACTGCCTCTCTCCACCAGTCAAATTGTGTGACCCTATGATTATCACACCCCTACCCCACTCATCCTCAGCCCTCAGCTCTCACCCTCCCTCTACCTTGGATCCTCATACTCGTTCTACAATGACGATCTTAAGCAATATTTGTCCTTATGGGACTAAGTTAGTTCACGTAACATAATTACTGTTCTCCAGTCCCTCCCAAGTTAGCCAGTAGTTTACTTATAATCACTGGCAATAAGAGAGATACAAAACAAAATCACAATGAGATAACATCTCACTCCAGTAGCAGTTTAACAGGACATCAAGTAATAAATGTTGGAGAGGATGTGGCAAGAAAGGAACTCTTATAAATTGTTGGTGGGATTGTAAAATGGTCCAACCACTCTGGAAGGCAGTCTGATGTTTCCTTAAAAGGCTGGACATAGAAATTCCATATGATCCATCTATTCCAATGCTTGGAATATACCCTGAGAAAATGAGAACTGAGGCACAAATGGAGACTTGTACACCAATGTTCATAGCAGTGTTATCCACCATAACAAGAACATGGAAATAGCCCAGATGTCCAACCACAAATGAATGGTTTGAGAAATTATGGTACATTCAATGATGGAATACTAACCAGCACACAGGAACAATGATTTTGTAAATAATCACATTTTGAATGCCTGGTAGTTGTGGCTACAGACCCTGTCATAAGGATTTTGTAATCCATAAGGAAAACAAACACCAGTTGCTGTTTAGCGGATTCTGATGATGGTTCATGTGTGTCGGAGCAGAACTATGCTCCATGAGGTTTCATTGGCTGACTTTTTGGAAATAGAAGCACTTCTGAGTAGGTTAACTCTGCATCATCTAAAGACTCCCAAATCCATGAGAAGAGGAACATAAATAAAAATAACAAAAAGAAGGGTCTGGAAGTAAATTTTTTAAGTAATACTTACATTTTTCTGAACCCAAGCTAATTAATCATAGGTATTTGCAGGGTAAATTTGAGAACCTAGTCTAATATTTTGAGGACATAGTTAAATATTGCTTGCTATCTTTGCCTTTTGATGTCATTATTTAAGAAAGTAGGTTTTTACATAGATACAACAACAGCAACAACATTCTTTATTTAATGGGAAATACTGAATTGTTGGCTTTGTAAAAAGTTCCAGTTTGATTATTTAAATTATCTAATAATCCTCCACATATAAGCAGTACCAAGATTACAAACGAGATCTATTCCTGAGTGTCTTAAAGTCATATTAGTAGGTAAGTTGGAGCCGTTGCTACATGCAGTTTTTCATTAGCCTTACTTTAGTGCAAGAAAGACGTTCTAATGGCACAGTGTGTTACATGAGGCACTGCTAATCAAAAGGCCAGAGGTCAGAGGTCTGTGTCTTGGGAGACAGAGGGGTGATCTGCTCCATTAGAGATTTATAGCCTTGGAAACCCACTAGATGGTAGGCCATGAGTCAAAGCTGACTTGATGACAGTGGGTCTGTGAAAGAAAAGAAGCCACCTTGGTGGTGTTAAACATTGAGCTGTTTATCAAACCCACCAGCTACTCTACAGAAGAAAGATGAGGCAGTCTTCTCTGTAAAGGTTTACATTTACATGGTGACTCTATGGGGCAGTTCTAGCATGAGCAACAGTCATGCTTGATGTCAGTGGGTGTGTGCAGAAAAAGGCGGGAAGTCTTTGTAGTGATTTAACAGTGGCACACAGAGCAAGTAAGGACAATTGCAATAAAGAATTTGTCTGGACTAGTGGTTGACTCAAACATTTCAGACAAATTTATATGACAGCAAAGGAGAAGTAAGAGTTGTGTATAAATTAAACACCTCTTAGTCTGGGCACTTCCTGTAGTTACTTTTCAAAGTACCTATAGAAATTACACAGGTTTACAGTCATGATAAGACTAAATTCCTTTTCAGGAGATTTTCACCAGATCCTAACAACACCTATTCAAGATATTTAATACATATTTAAGTATTAATATGCATATAATATATAAAATAAATATATATTAAATATTAATATATATTTAAATATGTATTTAAAACACTTAGCCTGTAAAGTCATTCAGTAACACATGTCATCGTCATCAATTTCTCTCTATCAAACTGATGATATAATACCGTTCTCCTTTAAACTGCTGCATCACAAGAGTACCTGAGTTATACTCCCAACTCACAGAAATGAACTTTCCTTTTTCTAATCAAGTGTTTATTTATCTTTTTCTATATGTGTATTCTGTTTGTTCCCTCAATCTCAAAAATAAAAGTCAGCACAGTGTGTGCCCTGTGTGAGATGAGACCAGCT